TGGGGTCAGTTCACTAAAGGTTACCGCATGCAATAACACGATCACATGACTCATTCGCATAAATAAATGAGATAATAGTCAATTCATCAAAGTAAATTATCAAATGTGAGGTAATTTACTGCAAAAATATTAGATAAATCATTAAGCACTTGCTCTCCAGAGGATCCCCCCCCCCCCCCTTCCTGACTAGGCCATTTTGTGCAATACGGTGCTGCGTTACTTTAACTGACAATCGCGCGATCATGCAACGCTGCACTCAAATGACATTTACATCCTTTTTTTTCCCCCACAAATAGAGCTTTCTTTCAGTGGTAATTGATTGCCTCTGCATTTTTTTATTTTTTGCGCTATAAATCATAAACAACGACAAACATGTCCAGTAAAAAAATTTTAAAAATCTAATTACGTCATAAATTTAGGCCAAAAATATATTCTGATACACGTTTTTGCTAAAAAAAAAAAAATCCCAATATGTGTAAATTAATTGGTTTTCCGTTAAAGTTATAGCGTCTACAAATGGCAGTATATATACTGGAATTTTTTTTTTTTTGTAACTAGTAATGGTGGCAATCAGCGATTTATAGCAGGACTGCGGCGGTCATTCTGACACTGGGGGAACTGACTTGGTGTCACTGACATCCCCAGTGACACCAATATAGTGATCAGTGCTAATAAAAAGCACTGACACTGTACTAATTGCACTGGGCAGGAAGAGGTTAACATCTGGAGCTGTTAGCTGTGTGCTATTTTACTGTGTGTGTGCTTAACACTGTAAACACACTGCTATGCAGAGCCATACAAAGCAGTGTGCAGGAGCTGACGGGAGAGAGATCTGTGATGTCTATACACAGGTCTCTCCCCCGTCGGTGATACTCGGTGATCGCTGGGTGCCGGCGGGAAATCACCGGCTGAGACCCAGTGATTTGACAGCTGAGGCCGCAAATGGCGGCGTGGGGAACTGCAAAATCATGTGTGTATTTACGTGATTTTGCGCACCCATGCCGCCCCGTAGAAGTATGTCTGCTATAGGGCAGCGCGGAAGCGATTAAAGTCAATTCATTAAAGACACACACATTCGTTATTTATCAGGTGTTTGCTGGCGATATTTTAGAAATGTACAAAATAACAATTTGAGTAACTCTGTATACTTTTCACTTTCTGGCCAGTGCAATGTATCAGTGTAAAAATGTTCTCTTCGCTCAGGAAGAGGGAGATCATTTTGTGAATGAAAGAACACTACAGTGTTTTCCTAGTTTCACAATATTGCTGTGTGCATTCTGATGTAATGTTAGCCTGCAAAAAAAAAAAAATTGTGAAAAAAACAACACCAAAAATAACACAAAATTTAAGTGCTAAATATTGCAAAACATAAATATTTGACGCATTTGGTAAATAACACATGGCTTTTAGTGAATTGATTACCTTTGAAATAAATACTGCATGCGTTATTTTAACTCAAAAATTCATGTGATATTTATCTCTTGGTGAATTGACCTCATAGTGATCTAAGCAGACAAGCACAGCCCATCCACATAGGGTGGCATGCAGGAAAATTTTCATTTATTAAATCCTCTATGCTAGCCATACATTAAAAATAAACTGCTTTCATGTAATAAAATTCAATGATCCACAGTACTCTTTTCAATGTGGTTTCCAGCATATCCTAATTTCCAGAAACTGAGCCACTAAAACTGTGGTGTAAATGCTTTCAAAGGACATTTTGATTGATTTCCAAAGCAGGAAACAACTGAGTGGCAGATTGCTGTGGACCACTCACTTCCACACTTTTTTCAAATGGCTGAAAGAAAGCTTCCAGTATTTCTATGAAATTGTCATCTTGGTCAGCTTTAGGCCTCTAATTTATAATGTCTAGAGGGGAAGGGATAGCGACATATTGCTGAAATTATAAATCCTCCTTTAAGTCTGTGGCAGAGCCTTATGGTACCCAGAATTGGAAAATGGGTGATATATGAAGACTGCTAAAATAAAGTCATCGTGTATAGCAACAAGTCTGAATCATTGTTTCATGTTAACATGGACTGCAGGAATGATATGTAGAAGATGACTAGTTGCTATTGTCAACAAAAATGTTTTTCTGTAGTACTCATACCTGGTCCACAAGTGATTCCACAGAGGTTCCTATGAATATGCAGTGGATGTAGATACTCCCAATTCAAGCATTGTTTGCAATAATACGGCCCTCTGTAACCATCCTAGTAGGTATAAAAAAAGTTAACCATTTATTAGAGCCATTCATTAAAACCCCAAGAGATTTTTTGACCTGTTGGAAAATCCTATTAGCGATGCTAAATCCTTCCCTTTTCTGTTCAGAATGTTGAATCGTTTAAGGCAGGCCATACATGGAGTAAATTTCTTTCCTGCAGCCATGGGACAGTGTTGATAGAGGAATCCCTCCCATTCAGCCATTGTATGCTCATGGGGAGGGGGGGTGGGGGAATGCGGGGGAAGCCATCCCCACTGGGAGAAGACAGTGATTATTGCTAGAGGCCATACCAGATCAACTTTGGTAACATTCAGCCTGCCCATATGTGGTTCGAATCTCAGTCGGTTCCTGCTGAAGTGGTCGAGATTTGAACCGTCTATGGTCAGCTTAACCACTAGGGGACCGCCCACAGTACATATACTGCGGCAAGGCAACCCCTGTGCGCAGGATCACGTTTATAAACATCATCCTGATTTCGGGGTAGGGGGCGAGCGACCGCCCTACCCGTGGCACCGATCGCGGCCATGGGTGTCAGTCACTGGGTCCCGGCTGGTGATTACCCTCTGGCGCCCGGCGATTGCCAGCAAACACTGACAGGGAGCACAGCTGTATTTTCAATGGAACTCTCCTCCCTGTCTGTTTTCAGCACACTGCTCCGAATTGCTGAGTTCAGCTTTCCAGATCATTGTGTAACTGTGAAGAACACACCCCCCTGCCCCCTAGTAAAACACTCCCCTCACACAGTTAACCCTTTGAATGCATTCTAATGTTAACCCCTTCCTCCCCAGTGCCATTAGTACAGTGTCAGTTCTTTTCTTTTTTTTTTTTTTGCACTGATCACTGTATTGGTGTCACTGGGGATGTCAGTGACCCCAAGTCAGTTCCCCCCAGTGTCAGAATGTCCGCCGCAGTCCCGCCATAAGTCGCTGATCAACGCTATTATTACTTTTTTTGTTTATAGCAGCAAAAATAAAAAGCACACAGGTGATCAAATACCACCAAAAGAAAGCTGTATTTGTGTGAAAAAAGGACCATATTGCATGACCGCAAAATTGTCCGTTAAACTAGTGTAGTGCTGTATAGCAAAAAAATGGTGTAAATTGCAGTATCTATACCATAGTTTGTAGACACAATAACTTTCACACAAAGCAATCAATATACACTTATTAGGATTTTCTTTTACCAAAAACATGTAGCAGAATACATTTTGGCCTAAAATTATAACTAACTTTGAGTTTACTATATATTTTTTATTGCCAAAAGTAAAAAATATTGTTTTTCTTCAAAATGTTATGTCTTTTTTTGATTATAGCGCAAAAAATAAAAAGCGCACAGGTGATCAAATACCAGCAAAAGAAAGCTCTATTTGTGTGAAAAAAAGGACGTAAATTTAATTTGGGTGCAGCATTGCATGACCGCGCAATTATCAGTTGAATTAGTGCAGCGCCAAGTAGCAAAAAGAGGCCTGGTCATTAAGGGGGTTAAATCCTCTGGAGGGCAAGTGGTTAAGGTATTGCACAGGTGCCAACATGAATGTTTGCTAATTATTTAGGTGGGTCCTGATTCGACTGTAGAGCAATCCGTTTAAGAATGAGCAGATATCTGACTGCCTAGCATTCCATGGGAGATATCTAAAGATGTCTATTGTCTTTCCCTACCCTACAGCTTAAGGCTGACAAGAGGATAGACAGCAACAAAGGCATAATCCATCCAGCTTAAGCTATCTTGCTGGATGAAAACAATTGTGTAGAGTTGTATGGAGAGAGAGAAGACCAGTGAAGCGTTGTTACCAATGAGCAAAAAAAGCATAGCCAGTGTTTGAATAAAGCACAGTTGATAACTAATCTATTGTGATATCTGTTTTTGAGTTCCCGTATTTGCATAACAGCTGTGTGCATGTTGAGTGTGGGGAAAGGGGGTACCACTCTGTTTTTTGTGGGGTTTTTTTATTCATTGTATAATATAGAGACTGCAACATGAGGCACTGTAACGCCCACTGAAAGGTGGGCAGAACACACAAAATTCCCAAGTGGACATGGACAGAGCACATGTAAGCAAAAGAGTTAAAAACACTATAGCATTCCTTTAAGGTGTAGTGTAAAGCAGCTCCCTCTGACACATTGATACTTGCCTCTGGAGCGTCCCCTTGCCTCATTGTCCTTTATCACAGTCAGCACAAAATACCTGGTACTTCTAGGGTGTGAAGGTGCAAGTGACGACTTCCCATGACAAAGTAGGTGAGCATTTTCACATGACAGGGACCAGGCCGCTGCTCTCTAAGCTCTGGCACCATCTGGTATTTCTGACCTGTAAGCAGAAATATATAGGGCCTGTTATCTCCTTCTAAAAATACAAGTACTAATACAAGTACTGGGCAGCACAGTGGCTAAATGGTTAGCACTTCTGCCTGGCAGTACTATGGTCGCTGGTTCGAATCCCAACCCCGGCACCACCTGCCTGGAGTTCGCATGTTCTCCCTGTGACTGCGTGGGTTTCCTCCGGGTACTCCGGTTTTCTCCCACACTCCAAAATACATGCTGTTAGGTTAATTGGCTCCTGTCTAAATTGGCCCTAGTATGTATATGTATGAATGTGAGTTAGGAACTTTAGATTGTACGCTCCTTGAGGGTTAGGGACTGATGTGACTGTACAATATATGTATGTAAAGCGCTGCATAAATTGACGGCGCTATATAAGTACCTGAAATAAATAAAAAAAAATAAAATAAAGTACTAACTTGCATGTCTGTGTTTTTTTTTTTTTTTTTTTTTTCTAGAGGACTTCAACAGATTTGCAGAACTGAACCCCAGTTTTGCCGAAGACTATATTTATCCAAATATGGTGGACTCTGAAACTCTTCTAAACAGCCCTTCTCCCAATGCTCCAAATGGCTTCTGTACTGATTTCACACCTGATGACATGGAAGAGACACAGTACCACAGGGATCAAAAGAAAACAAACTAAATCGGGACCTACTTCTCCCTCTCCTGGTGAGGGGCTTATGTGTATTGTACCTCTGAATATATTTAGACTCATCTATACACAGTAGTCTTTTGTTTGTGACAATTTCCATTTTTTGCCCAGCTTTCATCTATTTTATCGTCTTTATTACAATCATAAGGTGTTTAAATTGCAGAAATTGCGAGTGATCTATACTCACTGTGTACTGAAAAATAAACAACTGTCATCAAAAAAATCTTACAAAAGTGCCTTTTTCTATGATGGATTCACTGGCTGCTTTCTGACTGACTGACATTCTATGATTAGGTAGTCCCTCCATGCTTTAAAAGTGGATTATGAAAGATAAGGGTCCACCTTGCTTTAAAGTCATAGGGACAAGAGGTCTGTCATTTTCTAGTTATTACTTTGTAAGTTTTTTTGATACATGTTGTGTTGGGATATATATTTAGTCTGCTTTGCAAATAAATAGTTGCACCATTGTATAGCACTTAAGAAATGTGATATTGTATGAATTTTGGTGTGCAGAATTATATTTCATGGACCAATAAACTTAAAATAGGGTTTTTCCCCAAAATTGTTTACAGTCATGGACAGATAAAGTTTTAATAGTGAAAAAAAAAATCAGAGACAAAGATAACTTTGGGGAAAATTAAAGCTAAATTCCAGGCAAATGGCTTAAAACACCTTTAAAATACATATATGAGAGCTGTATTACCTGCCAAAGGACTTTATCTCTATTGATTCAGTCTTGCCAATGGACGTGTATTTCTGTCCATTCAGCACAACCAGCCGAGTGAGCTGACTTTTTCTCTGTTGCAGTTAAGCAACACAGGTTGATCACCTGCCTTCCCCATGTCTATGATTGGAGAGTGAATGGGCAAAAAGAGACTGAAGAGGCCAGCCCCTGTTCTCTCCACCTGTTGTCTAGTGCAGCCCCCCCTCAAAGTCTGAGTGCTGCTGTGGAGAGGATTCCAAGAGAGTGAATTCATTTTACAATTCATGCATTTATTTTTAAAAATTCATAACTGCATTCATTAGTGTTTTTTTAATATCTTCCTAGAGTCCAACGTTAAGATTTTCCTTACCTTAGCTGGTTTCCTTTCTAATAAGTACTAATAACTGGATGACAATGTGGAATAATAAGCCACGTAATAGGTTACAGTAAATACAATATCAGCAGTGAAGATTTCTGTAGTTTTACATTTGCAAATGAGAACATTCTTTCAGATAAATATATCAATTTAATTAATATAATTAAGTTTATTGGTCCTTAAGAAAAATTCCCTTGCAAACATCCAGCGCGCACATAAACATTTAGCGTGTTTTCAATGATTTGTACAATGTGTGCATGTAGAACAGATTTTTTAACTGGTGTGGAATTTATAGTGCACTTTGGTGAATAGTTGTTTTAGGTCAATGTTTTTTGTGTTCATTTGTTGCAAAAGCAAACTTTTTTAAGTGACTCTTTTGTTCACTTTTATTACAATTCAGATATGTGTAGTATTATGAACAAAGCACTATTTTGTAAATGGCAGGTTGATTACATCAATTGGAAGTCTTTCCTCTTGTATACTGGTATGTGTACACTCAAATATCCATGCTAAGTGTGCTCAGTAGGGTAAATTGTTTTCAGGTTTTCTCTTATCTCATGCTTGCTCTGTTTTGGAATTTTTTAAGAATTTCCAGAATTGTACTTCAAAACCAGCTCCACCTTTCCAATGAATTTGGTGCTCTAAATCATGAGAGCTTATTATAACCTTTGCAAAACAAGCATAGTATTGACTTTTGACTACCTGTGAAATCAAAGTGAACCTCTGCTTGCACACTAAAGTATATAGAAGCCGTAAAAAGCACTTTAATACAAGCCCTCGTTCATCTCTATATCTATAAGCATTGTATAGAAATTCACTATTAATAAGGCAGCATCTGTGTTTGCTATTGGAGCCAATCTTGGTAGGCTGTCAGCCCTCTAATGTAAAAACAACCAGCAGGTTTTGTACGTTGTAGGGCCTGAATTCATATGTTTGGGGCATACATCTCTGAGTGTATACAGCTCTAAATGCTGGGATTTGATACGAATGGGCCAAATCGTCCATGTGCTTATAACCTTTGAAACTGAAACCCCACTTTAGAGTCTTGTTGTGATTTGTGGATTTTTGAGAAGGAATAACTCAACATTAAAAGCAGCTAGAGAGGTAATTGATGGCTTTTTTTCATGCTGCATTAATGTTTAAGAATATGTAAATTAATGACCATATCTGATCACACGTGCACATTAAAGTAACCCTGTCAAAAAAGATGACTTATCTGGAAAAGGAATACTATATACTTACCTTTCCCAGGGACCCATGTGTTAAAACATTGCTGCTGAAGATATTCTACACTTTCAGCTTTGTAGAATGAGCTCCCCCCTGCACGCTGTGGTCCCTTTCACTGATTAGGACATATGAGCAAAGATGGAAACCACTGTGTATCAAGGGGAGCAGTTATTCAAGCCACCCAAGGTGCAGAATATTTGTAATGGCCAGAGTGCTGCAATGCACTCCATTTCAGCACAGGACCAATAGAAAGGTTAGTCTATGACATCATCCTTACAGGTACAGTATGTCTTTTTAGTTTTGACCCTGCAGTGACAGGGTCACATAGTATATTCTCAATAACTACATGAGTTTTGAGTTATTGTAATATGACATTTTGATATTGCTTTCGTATTTTACTGCCTTGCTGAAGCATGTGACAGTAAATGTATTCAATATAGAATATATAGAAAGATGTAGTTCAGTGGTGTAATTCCCTGTACATGCAATAAAATAAATTGTGAAAAGTACCCTAAAATCATCTTCTAAATGCAGATCATATAATCCTTCTAACCTGCTTACAAAAGATGTTGCCTTGGAGAACAATCACTGCAAAGGCCCAAGTTGGTAATATGTGATATAGTTATATGATATGGAGGCAATATGCTTTGCAAAACACTTAATAGGGGCAACACAAGGAAGTACTGTGCTGTGTCTGCCTGTATAGATTAAGCAAGAGGCTGTGATGTAAGTGGAGGGTGCTGCCTTAAGTGCACTCTCTAAGCCATTGAAGCACCAGAAACTTAGTGCCTGATGTATGGAGAATGCTGACTGCTGAGCAATTCACATAAAAGCTAAGGCACATTGACTATGGGTAAGGATTGCTACCAAGTGTGGGGGGGGGGAAATGTGTCTTGACTTAACTTTATTACAGACTATTATGTACTACTGCTAATCAGGAGGCAGTCTGCATATGGGTAAATATAGATGCCCCCCAGAATTGTTTACATACTAAAAAGAGAACTTTTTTTAACAATCAAATATTTGATCAAATTTACATTCAATTTATCACATTCAAATATATCAGGATAAACAGCCTGTGATACCCTTTAAGAAACATTAATTCCATGTAATCATTATGTAGATGGATTTAAATAGCTGTGTCTTCATATCCTCTGCAGCAGTTAGCACAATTTAAGCTTCCCATTTATCACAATTTCAGGATATTGTGCAAGAACAGAGGAAAAAAAAAGCTCTCATTTGAAAAACATTTCACTATCCTACCTGATCTTCAAGCACCATATTCAGTAGAAAGGTGGAACTATGATTTAAAGACTAAATCTTCTGCTGCCTAAAGATGAACTCATTTCTTATCTGTTTTTGGCAGTGAATCTGATATTTAATAGTCCCCTAGTTGAATACAGAGCACCATACTGAGCAAAGAAAGGATGTACTGCAGCATCAAGAGGCCTTGGACTTCAAATAACAGGACTTTCTGCAGGTTGTAAAATCTTTTGATTGACTGAACAGATTTTTACATTTTCAATCAATCATTACACATTGATGTAACCGTTTTCAGAAGGACCACTCAAAATCAGAAGAAAATTTTATTTTTTCAAGACCTATATTTTTGAAGGGAGTACTCTATGATCCAAATTATCTTTGGAAATGGATGGGATTGTGTAAGGTAAAGATGTGGTGGTAAAAATATAAAAATGAGCCAAGTGCTGAATGCTAGGTGTCATAAAGTGCCAAATCAACCTGTTTATAAGAAACATCCCTTTGCCAGTGGCTTCCAGAGTATGATGAGGATAAGTATTTCCCCATAACTGCAGCTCTTGAGTCCTCGGGCCCCATTTGGTGGGGTCGTGTACACAACTGTGGAAATAAAAGTACTTGCATAGGAAGCAAAGACTTGGGGCATATTCTTGCAACACAGGTATGATCATGCACCTTACAGTGTCTACCATTCAGTGGTTGCTATTTTTATTACCAGTACATTTTATGCTTTCAACACAAAGCACAGTGGACTTTGAAACAGTTGGCAGTATACAGACTGCAGCACTCCTTGGCTACCAGTTACAAATATTTTTGTTAGTACTTTGATGGAATTTGGAACAAGACTGGTAGCTATAGGCAACTTCATGTCCCTATTTGTAATCTAAAACAAGACACTTTTGCCGAATTAATTGTCAAAGGTCGGCCACCCATCTATATTTTCTTATAGGTAGATGATCTCTTTACTCCTTGTTTGTTATGCATTGAAATTAGTATTCTTTTGTAAATCCATACCATTTATTTTTCATTTATGTTCTTGATTCCTGGTACATTGCAGTTTTTTTCTTAGCTTTTAAAGATTAAACAAATATTCAAGCTTTGTATTTTAAAATTAAGGCACTTTTCCCTGTTAATTTAGAGGGAACTTCTGTTACAAAGGAAAACACCTTCTCAGAAGCTAGTGATCGAAGCTGCCATTTCCCAATTCATGGACCTCCTAATAGTTCACAGTAGCAATGGTTTAACCACACTGCACCAAAACTATTGAAGTCCATGAGTTCACACTACTTTCATCAAAATCTTCTGAGACCCGGTGTTCACTTCATTGACAAATTCCATGATTTTTATTTTTTTTATAGTAAAGGATGTTCTGATTGTGCTAAATGCTATGGTCCATGAATGTTTTACATTAAGATGTCAGTGAAGAAA